CTGAAGATAAAAATATAGGAGGTTTCAGTGAATAGATAGAGAGTGTTTAAAGCCACGAGACTGTATGAAGTCACCAAGAGAGTGGGTGTATCAAGAAAGGAGAAGTGGTCAGAAGACTGAGGCTTGGACACTCTAACCTTATGCTATCAGGGAGATGAGGATGAACCAGCAAAGGACACTGAAAAGAGTAGCCGGTGAGGGAAAAGGGGTCAAGAGAGTCGAGTGTCTTAGGAGCAAAATGAAGAAAGTGTCCCAAGCAGAAGTAAAGGGTTAGTTACGCCAGATGCTGCCTTTTGGTCAAGCAAGACAAAGACTGAGAACTGACCATAGGATTTAGCAATGTGAAGGCCATTGGTTACTACATTAAAAGAGATTTTGGCGGAGCAGTAGAGCGAAAGCCTGATTAGGATGGGTTCGTGGGAGAATAGGAGGAGTATAGGGTCATGAGTGTGGTTGTTTTTAAGATGATAGAAATTGTAACATGTTGGAAATAATCCAATGGTGCAGAAGGAAAGGGGGAGAATTGATGAAGTGATATCCTCAGGTAGGCAGAGGAGGCACAGAATGTACTTTGACAGTAACATTCTAATGAGCTTGAGGCCTTTAGAATAAAGATGCACATCCGATATGTCCTATGATGCCCATTCTTCCCTGAGGTTGTAAACAAACCAGTGCTTCCAAACTGGCTCCAAAGAAGAATCACTGAGGGGAAGGAAGGGCACTTTTACCTTAAATGCTACTATTATCATTAAATGCTACTAATTGCATTTTGTAAGTAACAATTTAACGATAGTAGAGAAATAATCACTCATTCACTCAATGACTACTTATCAGCCTACCATATACTAGTTTTAGGTGTTATTCTAGGTGCTGGGGATACAACAGTGAGCCAAACAATCATGTCTAAAACATTTTTATCAGTTATGTCATAAAGAAATCTGCATGCATTTATTTATAACCACAACAACAACAACAAAAACATGTTTTGAGTTGCCTTGGATTGTTTCTTTGCACTTTGTAAAAATCCTTGTTTCCCTAAAATTGAGAGGTTTTATTATCAATGGTGTCCCCAGGTTGGTTTTGGAGCAGGTATTTGGGGCACTTTCTCAATTATCTTCTTTGCCAGATTTTACCCAAGAGCACTTTCAAATATATTTAAATGGTCTTGGAATTTGGTCACTTTTAGATACATTAATAGGATACTCCAATTGCCTTATAAGAACTAGTCTTAATTTCTTTTTGTTAGTCTTTTAAATGTTACTTAAATGTAGTTACATTCTCTCTCAAAACCAACTTGAGATCATGATACTATTCAATTTCTCTTCCTTCAGTTTATACAGGAAAAAGAGTTCTACATGTGAAAAAGTAAGGAGTATAGAATTGCTGAGACTTCTTTTCATTAAATTTATAAACTTGAATTTTCTACTGTTTACTAAAGAACACATTCCACCTTGTTGAACCTTTTAAAAGGTCAGCTGCCACATTGAGAGCGTTCATTTGTTTCAGCTTTCTGTGGCCCATTTTAAGGTTTGTTTCTCTGATTTCCTGGCAGTATACCTATTTCATGGGAAACATTCCTTTCAGAGAAGCACAAAGCCTCTTCTAAAATTCTCTTTGAAACTCTTTCTCATTCATGTTCACTAAATTTCCTACCTGTTTAAAATTTTATTTCAGTCTGTCATACTTTATTTTAGACTACATACATTTTCAAATATTCTTTTTTTGTGTGAATAGAAACACTTATTTTGTAACTTCTGTTAGCCTTACTTTTTCAGAGCTTACTTCTTAAATGTATTTCAAAGGATTCATACTTGTTTTCACATAGCTTCAAACATTGTTTACTGTTTGTATATTGCATTTGTAAAGCATTTTATGCTTAGAATAATAACTGTAAATACTTTATATTTCTCTTCCACATCTCTAAATATTTGTGTATCACCGATGAACTCAATTACGTAATGTTCATTATTAAAGATCTGAAAAAGCATAGCCTAAAAATTTCCTCCCTGAAGTAATGACACATAGTAAAAAAGTCTGTTATAACAAAGCTAGTCTGTAACATGTGTTTCCCTCCTGGCTTATAAAGTCAACTATTTATGCCTAGTCCTTCCACTGGAGCCTTCCTACTGTTGGATGTGAGGGGGTGCAGGTGGGCCATGATTTGTAAGAACTCAGGAGTACTATGCATGTACTTATATGTATGAAAAAGTTTATGTTCATGTCAATTAGATGTATTATGTGGTTAAAGTGTTTTGCAAATCTGGAATCCAAATATGTGAACAAGGATGGGTAATGTTGACAAGGCAAACATTCCAAAACTAATACAAATACAGTAACTAAGATTTTTTTAAAAAGAGTTTATATAAAAGCAGCAGATGAAATTTTTCGAAATATCCATTCATACATTTTTGCCCAAAAGTGAGTATAAAAATTAAGAAAGTCCAAGTTTTAGAAAATTTAGAAATCTTTTTAGGAAAACTGTAATGAACTCTAATATGAATGAAGAGTTTCAAAGTATATTTTAGATGAAGATTTTGCTTCTCTGAAAAGAATGTTTTGCAGAAAATAAGCACAGTCCCATAAAAACAGATAAATCAGCCTTGAAAATAAGGCCACTGAAAAGACACTGCTTCTGTGGGTAAGTAACTTAACTGCTCTATGCCTCAGTTTACTCTTATACAAATATATATGTATACTTGTGTGTGTGTGTGTGTATATATATATATATACAAATATACATATGAAATAATGCACTTAGTGCACTTAGGGCACACAGAAAATACTCAATAAGTGATAGCTATTGTTTTGACTTTGTCTCTTCTTTGTTACGTCAGGAAACAAATAATATCACCTGTGTTTCCCTCACCCTCAATTATGAGAAGATATTCCAGAAGCTCTGGAAAGTTTCTTGGTATTAAGAGCTGCTCTGAAGATTTGGTTAGAAGAGGTGAAGAAACTGTTCCTACTACTTTGAGCAAACAGAAGGTGTTGACAGCTCTGGACAAACTTAAGGGCTCCACCATGAAGGAAAGAGTGCTTCTGATGACAGCAGCTGTGGAACTTGAATATGTCTTGCTAATTTTAGTTTAGTGGCGAAATAACTGGGACTTATACAATGAAATCACTCACACCCCAGTGCCAATCTCACACCAGGGAAGCCTGCGGCCCATGGCTGGGCATTAGCAAAGTCTGCCATTGCACCCTAAAGTGGGAGAATGCCAGCCACACCTGTCAAGTGCTGCAGCATGAGTTTTAAACAGAAACAAAAATCTTTTCTTTAGGAATGAGGTGAGAGCTCTTTTGTTAACTTGTTTATGGAGAGTTAAATATTGGTGGAGAAAAGGCAGCCTGTACAGAGGCAAAGCTAGAGGTTTTAGCCAGTGGGCACCTCTTTCCAAACCCTTTCCGCTCCTTATAACCCCAGTATGTTTCTACCTTTATCAAAATACTTTCTCTGGAAAGTATTTTTTGGAAAATGGTTATAAATAAATGGCACTTGCACCACTAGCTAGAGGTTTCTCTGGCAAAAAAAAAAAAAAAAAGCAGCGAAGGAAACAGCTCCGATATTGTTAGGGGAAAAACACGAGAATAAAACTGACATTTGTTGTTGGTCGCCAGAAGAGGGTGGAGAGGGGGGTCGGCAAGCAGAATGGGTAAAGGGGGTCAAAAGTACAAACTTCCAGTTCTAAAATAAATAAATCCTGGGATGTGATGTACAGCATGGTGGCTAAAGTTAACCACGTATTATGAATTTGAAAGTTGCTAAGATTAGATCTTAAAAGTTCTCATTACAAGTAAAGAAATCATAACTATGTGTGATAATGGACGTTAATTAGATTTACCGTGGTGATCATTTCACTATATGTACATATATCAAATCATTGTCATTTATACACTTAAAACTAATGTAATGTTATATGTCAATTATACGTCCAAAAATAAATAAACTGCCATTGACCCAGCACTCCTTCCGTGTCAGCCTCATCCAAGAGAACGCAGGCCCTGAGCGGGCTCACCACTAGCTAAACTGGAACGCCACAAACCCCTAGGGCGTCCTGGGCGAAGCCAAGCAGTCCCTCACCCCTGCGGGCATCTCTCACCCAGAGTTAGTGTCCAGCGCCCAGAGCCAAGAGGAAGCCGGGAAGGGGAACTTGGCCAACGGCAGCCACAAAAACAAGTTGCGTTCAATACTGTCCATGCATGACCAAGCAGGGCCGGGAAACACCCTTCTGAGTCCTGGCAGATTACGCGGCTCGACTGAGTTTAACGCTCTAGTAGGAGTGAAACCAGAGCGGATGCTTCACTCCCCGGGTCTACGGCTTACCAGCCCCTTCACTCCGGACTGAGCAAGTTACAAGAGACAAAGTTTCGCCTCTCCATTCCCCCCCCGTGCCTTGCTCTTCTAAGAAGCAGTCTAGAAGCAAATAACGGCGAAAGGCCTCGCCTAAAGAGCGTCTGCGCGCCCCTGATAGCGCAGGCTCCGTCCTCAGGGAGCGATCTGGCCCCGGCGTGTGAGCTGCCCCGGGCCGGGCCCCACGGCATCTCTCATAGGCTCCCATTTCCGATGTCGCTGCAATGTCTCAAGTGCGTCCCAGCCACTTGCTGCAAAGAGTTAACCAGGTGGGGCCGGACCGCCCCGGCCAGCTGGTTCTGGAGCCGCGGCGCCCAGCCTCCCCGCGCAACGCAGCTCGCCGCTAAGCC